CGCCGCGTCCCGAGAGCATGGGGACCAGCTCCCGGAGCCCGCGCGGCCTTCGGGGCAGCCCGGCTCCGCTCACGGCTCTTCCTCCCCGTCCTCGCGGACCTCTTGCTTTTCACCCGCAAAAGCCCTCCGCCAGAATAAAGACGGGGAGATGCTGCCGGTCCAGGAGAAACCGTCCCGCAGAGCGTTCCCTGCTGTCGTGCTGATTGGGGTTACGTCGAAGGTTAACGTCCTCCTCTTCCTCCCGAGGAATTCGCCGGTTCTCTCGGCTCACGCACAGACGTGAGCGCGTACGTGCTACCCTCGGTTATTTCTGTCCTATTTCCTCTGTCCGCGGTCGCTTCCCATTAATGCTGCCGTGCAGCAGCTCTTGGAGAGAAATTCTCCCTAATCAAGATTTAGTTTTAAATCCACTTCGAAATCCTCTAATTCAGTTGGATTAGGCAGAAGGGGTTTCGGGAGATGTATGTTTTTACTTTTTTTTTTTTTTTCCTCCTCCTTCTTCCTCTCTGAGCTGCTTCATCTCCACGAAGGGAGCCAGCGGCTCGGTGTGACATATTGTGCTATTTAAAGAGGGTAGGAATAATTTTATTGAGGAGAAGCGGTCGACTAATTTTAAATCCAAAGCTTGAGATTTGCTCGCAACATACAGCCGCGGGGACGGCCGCGGGGTTAAAGGAAAAACCTGATGGGGACGGAGGCGCGCTTGACTCTATTTTATGCATTTGTGCACCAGAAAACAGGCGCTTTACAAAGCAGAGAGAGAACCAAAGGCCGAAGGGGGCCGACCCCTGCCTCTGCACGGGCTCTGGAGGGAGCAGGACTCCTCCGGTCGGGGCGGTTCAGGGTTAGGGAAAAGGGCCGAGGTCCCGCGGAGGACAACGCAGGGCGCTGCGGCTCTGAGCCCACGGGGACCGCTGGGATCAGCAGCATGGTGCTTGAGGGAAGCCCCCGGCCACGGGGCCGGGTTCCCCGCAGACCCCCCTGCTGCCATCCCGGCCTCACCAGCTCCCCCTCGAGCAACGCGCCGGCTCCGAGTGGCGCTAATGGGACTTAGAGAGCTAATGCTTACTAATAAGAGAGCACACCCAAACGGGTGGGATTAAAAAATCAAAACAACAGAATAAGCTGCTTAGGTTGCCCATCCAGCGAGCGCTTCCTAGCAGCACCCGGCAATCGCCCCCGGGCACCGCCAGCTTGACTGGGCTGGAGCCCACGGGAGCCGAGCCGGGGGACTCGGGCACGTCCGTCACCAGCCCCGGCGGACAAAACTCCCAGCCAGGGAAGATGGATTTGGTCTGAGCACGTCTGTCCTGCTGCTCAAGCCCGTTGCAGAGCACAGCAAGGCAGTTCGCTGCACCGTCTTACGGGTAAGCACAAGGGAGCTGAAGGGACCAGGTCTCAGCTCACCGCATCGTCGCTCGCCTGGTGGGTCGGCGGCTTCTGTCACCGCCTCCATGGAGATAAACCCTGTTCAGGCACGCGTTGGATGTCCCCTCCAGCCACTGAAAGGCCTAGGAGTAAATCAAGGGCAGCATCTCCCTCAGCCGAGCTCTGAGCTGCGTGCGGGGTGAAGATGCTCTGAGCAGCGCTCAGCTCCCCGGCCTGAAGCCGACTCGAGTGCACAGCTTCGGCAGGGGCTAGGACCTAAGCTGCACACAACAGCTTCATTAGTGAGCACACTCATTAATATTTCACCGCGAGGCAGCACAAACTTGCCAAGTATGGGCACCTCCAGCGCAGGAGGGGCAATTAGCACCTGGGAGAACTGCTGAAATAATGCAGCTCGTTTATTCAAATCTCTTAAACCACCTACGGTGTCTAGCTTGCCTCAAAACAACGTGATTAGAGCAAAGCCTGAAAGCCTCAGGGAGAAGGGATAAAATGCAGGAAATAGGATTGATTTAAATGCATGCATAAATCATAGGATTCAATAAGCAGGGAGAGCTAACTTTTAATCCCTTAATAAACTCATCAGTATCTGGAGTGGGGAGGCCATTTGCACGCAAAGAATCGAAGCTGGGTTCCCACCTGCTTCTCGTCTCGGCTCTGCTGAAGCGATACAGCAGCTCCGAGCAGCTGGTCTGCGCCCGGGTGCGCGCAAACCTCTGGGCAACACAGCTGGCTCGGCAGCCTCGTCCGGGCTCCCGGCAAAGCCGGATCCTCCGAGAGCGGCGCGCGGGCGCCGGCTGGTCCTTCCCCTTGCAGGGAAATCGAGCCGGTCATCCCGAAAGAGCCGGTCAATCTAAGTGACAGCACGCGGCTTCCCAAACGGGGCAGGCAGATGTGCAAAGTGTCGCAACGTGCACAGCAGAAAAGAGCCGCGTCTTGGGTCAGACCCGGGCTGCTCCGAGGGTCCTGGCGGAGGAGGAGGGCTCAGATCCTTGCTTTCGCGTCCGCTCCAAGACCAGCAAAACATCGGGAACCGGCAGCAAGCAGCTAGGCTGCGATAACCCCAGGCGGGAACATAGCCCCGGCTCTGAACCCAGGCCTGGCCCAGCCCCTGGTTTGAGGTGCTTCTGCTGCAGATTTGCCCGGACTTTGTTTTGTTTTTAGTCCCTGGGAATGCAAAGGCCAAAGACCTTTAAAAGAGAAAAGAAAAAGAAAAAAAAACTAACCTTCCTCTTTGAGCCTGCCACCACTTCCACCTCTGCAATCAGTGTACATTTCTTTTAACTGGTCATTAGCTCTGATGCAATTTACCTCTCAGCCGGGGCAGGGGGCACCAGGAGTCAGCTAGGAAAC